CGTCGCGCCCTCGGCCGCGAGCTTGGATGCCAGACATTGCAAAGCAACTGCGCCTACCGGGCCCGCAACATTTGCGGGCGCCCATCGCGATGCGCACGACAGACACGCGAGCATCCCGCTTGCGGATCTTCGCTCACGGCGCGCCGCGGTCGCCACGTGCCCGCCGCGTCGGCACTCGTGCCCCCATTTCCGTTTCACATGCCATCAACTGCCCTTGCTAGCGTGAGTCCCAAGGCGCCGCGCGGGGCCATGGCCACGCCACCCGGGCGATGCCCTCGCGGCGCATGGCCGCTATCTCGGCCGCTTTTTTAGCGGGTCGCGCGGGGGCGTCCGCCACGTTGAGCGCCGATGGCACGTACCATGCGCTCAGGAGGCACCGCGCGGTAGCCGCCGCGAACCAGATGTCGGCAACCAGCGCGTTATAATCTGGCTGGCGCGAGGTGCCGCGCAAGAGTACACCGAGCGCGGCCTGCCGCAGCCGGCGGGCATTGCGCGCGCGGCCCGACGGTCCGCGCTTGGCCACGCCTTTGAATCCACAAACATCAATATCTCGGCGTCGCGCAACTCCGAAAGCAAATGATGCAAGGCGCATGCTGCCGCGACGAGCTCCCAAGTCGCGACCTGTCGCGCACGGGGGGCCGCGTGCCGCGTTGCGCGTGGTCGGTGGGGCGTTCCCGCCTGCGTCCTGCGGCGCCGCGCCCACCGCTTGATTGGACCGGGCACATCGGCCGCCGCATACTGCTTACGATCGGGTCCTATGATGACCCACGCGAGCCTGCGGCGGCGGCGCAGTCCGGGCGGGGCCGGCGCCGTGGGCTCGCGCATACGTCGCCTGCCACCACCCGTCGCGTCGGAATACACCAGGTAGCGGGGTCGGCATGGGCCCACTCGCAGGGGCACCGCCCGTTCTGGCGCGCTTTGGAGGAAGCGCAGCCACCGCTCCAGTGCTCTTTGGAGCCGAGAATTCAGCGCCCACCCCCTGTTGCGCATGCCAGAACAGCGGTGCCAGGTATACTCGGGCGCCTGCCGTCGCCCCCGCTCGCGCACGCTGCCTGCGCGCGCGGCTCATCGCGCGCCTCTGCCGAGCACCGCGCTGGGCCCCCATCCCAATCTGCCGGCGAGTTTGGAGGCGGCCGCCGGCGACATTCGCCCTGCCGCCAGCGCCCCCTCGATCTCCTGGCTCCACTTCTCACGCTTGTCAATACCGATCGCGAACACGAGCGATCGCTCCTCGCCCGAACCGCGCACTTCCGCGTCGACGCCGAGCACATTTGCCCGCGGCTCGGCAACGACGCGCTTGCCGGCATCGAGGCGCCAGCCTCACAGATCTTCGACGACCGCTCTCAACACCTCGGCGGCGTCGCGGGGGCCGCCCGCGCCAGGCCCACTGTCGGCGTCGGGCCGGAACAGGTCGTCCACAAACCGCGCCGACGCAAGCCAGAATAACATGGCAAGGATCGCCTGCCGCGCGGGGGGGCGTGCGCTGCGACGCCGCGGCGGTCGCGCCCCGTGCCTGGAGCGCCGCGCCAACGCGGCCCCAGGCGCACCCGCTCCCCACGGCGCCGAACGGGCAGCTCAGGAGCTGCAAGCCGTAGCCTTCGCTGGCCCCCTTGGCCCAAGCCGCGCGGGCCAGCGGGAGGTCGGCGCCTCGCGCAGGCAGCGTCTTATAAGCCCCGACGAAATCTCCCTTGCTCAACACCGGCGTGCCGGCCGCGGCCGCGATCCGCGCCAGCTCGACCAGAGCGCCGAGAGAATCGACCCTGCGCGCGGCCGCGGCAACACAAGGGGGGGGCGAGGGCGGGCCGCGCGCGCCAGGGCCCACCTGCACCTTTCGGCTGCCGCGGCGCAGTCATTCACTCCCGCAGCAGTAAAGTCGTCAATCGCGCGAACCTAAGCGCACCGACCCCCGGGGCAGGGCACGGGGGGACTGCGCGCCGCGGAGAATGCGCCCCTCCTTGCGCGCCCAGCCCGATTCCTTCCATCGCCATCCCTCGTCGACGGGGAAACGTGGGTTCAATCTCGTCCCTCGCGGCAAGTCAGACAGACGTACCCACGCCGCCTGGCCCGCGGCTACCTGCATGCGCGCGGGCGCCGCGACCCGGGCGGGCCGCCCGCTCCAGCACGCGGGGCGCACGCGCGCGCGCCTCCTCATATGCTTTCTGATGCAATATCTGGGCGACTTCCGCGTCGGCCCCCAGGTCCCGAGACGCGCGCTCGAGAATGGCGGCGTTCAAAGCGTCCGCCCGGCCGCGCAGCTCGGAGGGGCACGCGGTCTCCTTCGGGGCCACGCCCGCGTTCATGCCCGAACGCGGCAGGACCCCGACAAGCTGGAACCCTTCTTCCAAATCGCGCGCCAAATTAATGTCGGGCGCCTCGCGCACGAGGCCGCGCTCCGCCGGCGCGTGCCCGCGCCGCGTCGCGGGCCGCCCCAGCGGCTTGCATCATCTCGGCCAAGAGCAACAAATTCTTGTCAGGCCCAAGAACGGAACGCACGTGCCATGGTAATCTCGCATAGCGCGCCTCCCCGCAAGCGCGCTCCCCGGCTGAACTCGGCGCGCGATGCGGGCATGCTGGGTGGCGCCTTCCATGCTGGAGCCGTCACACGTTTGCGCTCCTGCCAGAACTGCAGGGCCGCCTCGCGCTTCTGATGCAAGAGCTGATCGGCCGTCTGGCTCGCTGCCACCGCCGCGTCGCGCGCAGCCCCGGCGAGCGGCGCCATTTCGCTGACCCGCGGCAGATGCGCCGCCCAGGCCACATGGCAGAGGGGGCCCATGCCCGCCCTCCTGCCTTCGTCGACAAGCAGTGCTTCCACGGCGGCTCTGACCTGACCGCGCGCGGCAACGCGGCGGCGTTTCGATGCGCCTTCGGCGGATGATGGTTGCGGGCCTCTTCAAAAGCGCAGCCGGCATCGTGAATTTGCTGGGGGCGCAGATCGCCGCCCCCGCCCCCGACATCGTTGTCGGAATCGGCATTCGCGCCCTGCGCTGCGCGCGCGCGGGCGGGGCAGCCCCGGCCGCGGCGCAATCGCGGCGCCTCCTGTCCCTCGGGCGACGGCCCACGCCACGCTGCGCTCTCACCGCTGTCGGCAGAGTGTAGTGGGGGAGCCCCGTCGCCTACTCGGCTCGTCGCGCGACAATCACGCGGGCGCGCTCGCGGGTCGCGCCTTGGGCGAGCGAATAATTAGCATGCAAAGCGCCAGCGCTCTGGCGTCACCACCGCCAGGCATCGGCCCTCTCGGGCCTGTTCCACGAGCTCCCCGCGCCCTTGGAAGCCCCTCCTTTGCCAGGCTTGCCGTTCCTTTTGTTGCCGGCTTTGCCAGATGCGTCGCGGCGCGGGCTGCGCGAACGCCGAAGAAAGGGGCTCCTCGGGGCCCTTGGCCCGGGCCTCGTCGCCTCGCGCGTCGTGACGCGTGCGCGCGTCCGCGGGGCGCTCGCGCACGGCCGCGCCTGGTCGCGCTGGTCGCTGCCGCCCTTCTCGCCCCCGCCCTTGGCGATCGACGCCTGGCGGTCCGACTGCTCGACTCTCGCCTGGGGCGGGCAGCCCAATGCGCGTTGCCCGCGCGGCCCCGCCCGAATCGCTTCGCACCTTGGCGGCGCGCAGGATGTCCCACGACAACGCGGTGAACGCGGCCGTCGAGGCTTCATCGCCGTGCTCCAGATCTTTCGCCACCTTCTGGGGGAGCAGCAAATCGCACGCATGTGATACCTGCGCGCGGCGCGGCCCCGCCCGCGCAGCTTCGGGCAGCGGCCCAGCCGCTTCGCGCCTAGCCTTGACGCCCCCGCGCTCTTCACTCACGCGCGCGAGCTGATGCATGTATCCCAGCAGCACGACGGAATCAAACACCTTGGACAATATGCAGCGAAGCCCCCACTCCATCACGTGGGCCTCGCGCGACTGGGCCCGCGCGGGCGCTCGCGCCCCGCCGCTGCGCGCGCGGCCTGGAAGCGTGCGCAACCGAGAAAATCCATTCGGTCCAGGGATGCCCCCGCGCGGTTAGCCGCGGTGATGGCCGACGCGCGTTCGCGCCACAAGCCTGGCCCCGCTGGCACCGAATCCAGCCTCGGCGCCCGCGCCCACTGGGGCTTGCAGTGGTTGGAACGGAGACATCGGAGCGGGGATCGGCCGCGACGCGCGGCGCCAAGCCAGGGCGCCTGCAGGCTCTCGCCCTCGGCGCTCCCGATATACGAGCGGCCATTATTCTAGGCCGTTCGACCCGCAGACGCGAACTTGCGCATCGACTCTTCCGTCGGCAACCCTTCGCGGGGGAAGTTTCCGAGCCAGACCTCGCGCACGCGGTCCTGCGGAAGCGCCCCCCCCTTTCCTCGGCGGCCCCCGCGCGCGCGGAACACGCTGCTCCTCCATGGCGAACGCCAAGGGCTTCTCTTTCTTGTCTTCCAGCACATCCTTGCTGGCCCTCACGTAATCTTCCACGGCTGCCGCGATACGTGCCGTTTCCTCCGCGGGCTTGGCGGGCGCCTCCGCCGGGGCCGATTGCCCGCCCTGGCGCCGCGTCGCGCGCCGACCCGCGCCCGCGCGCGCGGTCGGGGCGGGGGCCTGTGGCCCGAAGTTCGAGCACGCCTTCGACTGCGCCCGCAACGCCATATTGACGCGGCACGGCTTGAGGCGAAATCGCGCCACTCCGCGGGCCTGTCTTCCGCGAGCGGCTGCGCGCCCGGCTTGAGGGCCGCAATCAACATCGCCCCACGTGTCCCTCCGCCACTGAAACTTCGCGTGGAAGTGATGCGGGGTCTTGCAGCCGCTGGGCAGCCACGCGAAACAGCCAGCGCTCCTCGGCCGAGCTGGGCCACAGGCGAGACTGGATGCGGTGCACATGCGCCCTGGGGCCGAAGCGGCCTGTGTCGCGTTCTCCTCCTGGGCCTGTCCTGGGAGCTCCGGCGGCGTGTCCTTGAGCTTCTCGACGACCGGTGTGTCGGTGGAGACGCCCGTCGCGGTGGAGGCCTCGTGGGGGGGCGCCAGTAAGGGCAGCATGACGGCGTCCGTCACACCACAGAACGCGTCGAACGCGTGCTTGCGGGCCTTGCACGCCTCCTCGCCCTGCGACGCCTTCGCGTTCGCCTCGCCCCACGCGTCCCTCCGCCAGTGAGACATCGCGTGGAGGTGGCGCGGGGCCTTGCAGCCGCTGGGCAGCCACACGAAGCAGCCCGTGCTCCTGGGGAGGGCCGGCGCCGCCACGGGCAGCGAGTCGACCACGTCCGCGGCCCGCGCCTCCTCGGCCGCCGCGTCAGCCTCGGCAACTGCCTGCGGCACAGCCTCTGGCGCCTCTGGCGCCTCCCCCTTTCCCCTTCACCCTCCACGAGGACCTCCCGAGGAGATGTCAGCAGCATGACAGTGTCCGTCACACCGCACCACGCGTCGAACGGTTGCTTGCGGGCCTTGCACGCCTTCTCGCTCTGCCCCGCCTGCGCGTTCGCCTCGCCCCACGTGTCCCTCCGCCACTGAAACTTCGCGTGGAAGTGATGCGGGGTCTTGCAGCCGCTGGGCAGCCACGCGAAACAGCCAGCGCTCCTCGGCCGAGCTGGGCCACAGGCGAGACTGGATGCGGTGCACATGCGCCCTGGGGCCGAAGCGGCCTGTGTCGCGTTCTCCTCCTTCGGGGATGGACAGACCCCCCTTTAGTAAAACGTGGTTTAGTGAAAACGACCTGAGGCCCAAACCTGGCGGGCGCAAGCCTGGAAAATAACGGCCACGGCGCCCTCTCGAGAACCGAGAACGGACAATTCACTAATCGACGTGTCACTGTTGGGGGTTCTGTCCACCCCCGACTCCTGCGCCTGTCCTGGGAGCTCCGGCGGCGTGTCCTCGAGCGTCTCGACGAACGGTGTGTCGGCGGAGACGCCCGTCGCGGTGGAGGCCTCGGCTGCGGCGGCGCTCTGCAGCTGGACGGCTCCGGCGGGCGCCCCCAGGAGCAGGGCGGCAAGGAAGCAGGCGCGTGCCCGCGGCATCGCGTGGCAAGGCGGTACAACAGAAGGTGCGGAAGTTAGACGGACAAAAGCCTTGAGCCAAAACGGTTACGGAGAGCAACCAGCAACAAGCCAAGAGGGCCCTAAGAAGGCCCAAAGGAGCCCCAAAAGGACTCCCAAGAGAGCCCATCCAGGGCATGATCACTGATGCTCGTACTGTAACATTGGTTGGATTGTTCTTGCTTGCGCGGCGCACCACAAATCTTAACACCAAGAGAGGCTCCCAGAAGAGCCCCAAGTGGCCTCAAGTGGCTCCCGGGAGGGCCCTGGGAGGGCCCAACAGGCCCCAAAGAAAGCCCCAAGACGGCCAAAGCCCTCCAAGACGCCCCAAGACGCACTGGACAGACGACGAGCAGGAACTGGCGTCCTCGGCGGTGTCGGCTGAGCTCATCGGCTCCTGGCGATTTTCAGGCCCCTGGATGCGTGCCAGCAGCTGCGCCCCGCCAGGAGCGTTCCGAAGGAGCGCCCCGAGGGATGCCCCGAAAGCCTCCAGAGGACGGACGACAGAGAATGAGCAAGCCGCAACAACCAGCAGCACGAATGGTAAAGCTTCGGGCTGCGCGGAGACAGCCCCCCCAGGCAGTCCCGGCTGGCCTCAGCAGGCCCCCCGGCAGCCCCGGGCGGTCTCAGAGGGCCCCCCGAATAGTCTGGGGCAGTCTCAACACCCTAGCCCTGCCAGCCGGGCGAGCGGATCAGGACCACAGGGTCGAAGGTCACACGTCTGCGGACACGGCGGCCATCACCCGACGAATCCGAGCTACAGGACCGACGACCCGTCGCACGAAAGGTCCGAAACGTCGACGTCGACGAACGAAGGGGAGACAGCAGCAGGGGTGCCAATGTCCCCTCCTGGAGTCCCGCCCTCCTGATGCGGGCTACGCCCCTCGGCGGGAGGATCCACGATCAGTTCGCCTCCAGCCCGAGAGCTGGTGAGGAGCTGGCCGTGCCCACTCGCCCCCGAGGCTGCGGTCAAGCAGGTACTCCCAGCATGCGAGGGCGGCGAGTCCATGGGTTCGGACGAGGAGGAGGAGGAGGAGGAGGAGCAGATGGAGGAGGAGGAGGAGGAGGAGGAGGAGGAGGAGGAGAGAGAGAGGAGGAGGAGGAGGAGGAGGAGGAGGAGGAGGAGGAGGAGGAGGAGGAGGAGGAGGTGGAGGAGGAGGAGGAAGGGGTGGACAAAGGACGAGCAACCAGCAACAAGACGCCCTGATGTACTGAGGCAGGAATTCTGCAATCCAAATAATTGCAGACACACCGTGAGCCTGGCCGCTTGCCAACACACTGCATGCCAGATGCAAGCCTCGTGCACATGAATTCCGCCAGGACTCTGATATGGCTCACAGGACCGATACGTATGAATCACGTCGCTCGCGGCGCTCATCTGGGAGGCCTCTAGCCTATGCTCCTAGTCGAAGATGCGCACCTTCAGCGCACGGCCTGCCTCAGAGTCCGACCGCGGAGGCGCCGCGGACGCGCCGCTGGCCCGCGGCCCCGCGGTGGCGGGGGAGCCGCCCGAGCCACTGGCCGCCCCATCGTGGGGGGCCGCCAGCAAGGGCAGCATGACGGCATCCGTCACACCACAGAACGCGTCGAACGCGTGCTTGCGGGCCTTGCACGCCTCCTCGCCCTGCGACGCCTTCGCATTCGCCTCGCCCCACGCGTCCCTCCGCCAGTGAGACATCGCGTGGAGGTGGCGCGGGGCCTTGCAGCCACTGGGCAGCCACACGAAGCAGCCCGTGCTCCTGGGGAGGGCCGGCGCCGCCTCGGGCAGCGAGTCGACCACGTCCGCGGCCCGCGCCTCCTCGGCCGCCGCGTCAGCCTCGGCAACTGCCTGCGGCACCGCCTCTGGCGCCTCTGGCGCCTCCCCCTGTCCCCCTTCATCCTCCACGAGGACCTCCCGAGGAGATGTCAGCAGCATGACGGTGTCCGTCACACCGCACCACGCGTCGAACGCTTGCTTGCGGGCCTTGCACGCCTTCTCGCTCTGCCCCGCCTGCGCGTTCGCCTCGCCCCACGTGTCCCTCCGCCACTGAAACTTCGCGTGGAAGTGATGCGGGGTCTTGCAGCCGCTGGGCAGCCACGCGAAACAGCCAGCGCTCCTCGGCCGAGCTGGGCCACAGGCGAGACTGGATGCGGTGCACATGCGACCTGGGGCCGAAGCGGCCTGTGTCGCGTTCTCCTCCTGGGCCTGTCCTGGGAGCTCCGGCGGCGTGTCCTTGAGCTTCTCGACGACCGGTGTGTCGGTGGAGACGCCCGTCGCGGTGGAGGCCTCGTGGGGGGCCGCCAGCAAGGGCAGCATGACGGCGTCCGTCACACCACAGAACGCGTCGAACGCGTGCTTGCGGGCCTTGCACGCCTCCTCGCCCTGCGACGCCTTCGCATTCGCCTCGCCCCACGCGTCCCTCCGCCAGTGAGACATCGCGTGGAGGTGGCGCGGGCCTTGCAGCCGCTGGGCAGCCACACGAAGCAGCCCGTGCTCCTGGGGAGGGCCGGCGCCGCCTCGGGCAGCGAGTCGACCACGTCCGCGGCCCGCGCCTCCTCGGCCGCCGCGTCAGCCTCGGCAACTGCCTGCGGCACCGCCTCTGGCGCCTCTGGCGCCTCCTCCTGTCCCCCTTCATCTTCCACGAGGACCTCCCGAGGAGATGTCAGCAGCATGACGGTGTCCGTCACACCGCACCACGCGTCGAATGCTTGCTTGCGGGCCTTGCACGCCTTCTCGCTCTGCCCCGCCTGCGCGTTCGCCTCGCCCCACGTGTCCCTCCGCCAATGAAACTTCGCGTGGAAGTGATGCGGGGTCTTGCAGCCGCTGGGCAGCCACACGAAACAGCCAGCGCTCCTCGGTCGAGCTGGGCCACAGGCGAGACTGGATGCGGTGCACATGCGCCCTGGGTCCGAGGCGGCCTGTGTCGCGTTCTCCTCCTTCGGGGATGGACAGACCCCCCTTTAGTAAAACGTGGTTTAGTGAAAACGACCTGAGGCCCAAACCTGGCGGGCGCAAGCCTGGAAAATAACGGCCACGGCGCCCTCTCGAGAACCGAGAACGGACAATTCACTAATCGACGTGTCACTGTTGGGGGTTCTGTCCACCCCCGACTCCTGCGCCTGTCCTGGGAGCTCCGGCGGCGTGTCCTCGAGCGTCTCGACGAACGGTGTGTCGGTGGAGACGCCCGTCGCGGTGGAGGCCTCGGCTGCGGCGGCGCTCTGCAGCTGGACGGCTCCGGTGGGCGCCCCCAGGAGCAGGGCGGCAAGGAAGCAGGCGCGTGCCCGCGGCATCGCGTGGCAAGGCGGTACAACAGAAGGTGCGGAAGTTAGACGGACAAAAGCCTTGAGCCAAAACGGCCACGGAGAGCAACCAGCAACAAGCCAAGAGGGCCCTAAGAAGGCCCAGAGGAGCCCCAAAAGGACTCCCAAGAGAGCCCATCCAGGGCATAATCACTGATGCTCGTACTGTAACATTGGTTGGATTGTTCTTGCTTGCGCGGCGCACCACAAATCTTAACACCAAGAGAGGCTCCCAGAAGAGCCCCAAGTGGCCTCAAGTGGCTCCCGGGAGGGCCCTGGGAGGGCCCAAGAGGCCCCAAAGAAAGCCCCAAGACGGCCAAAGCCCTCCAAGACGCCCCAAGACGCACTGGACAGAGGGCGAGCAGGAACCGGCGTCCTCGCGGTGTCGGCTGAGCTCATCGGCTCCAGGCGATTTTCAGGCTCCGGGATGCGTGCCAGCAGCTGCGCCCCGCCAGGAGCGTTCCGAAGGGGCGCCCCGAGGGATGCCCCGAAAGCCTCCAGAGGACGGACGACAGAGAATGAGCAAGCCGCAACAACCAGCAGCACGAATGGTAAAGCTTCGGGCTGCGCGGAGACAGCCCCCCCAGGCAGTCCCGGCTGGCCTCAGCAGGCCCCCCGGCAGCCCCGGGCGGTCTCAGAGGGCCCCCCGAATAGTCTGGGGCAGTCTCAACACCCTAGCCCTGCCAGCCGGGCGAGCGGATCAGGACCACAGGGTCGAAGGTCACACGTCTGCGGACACGGCGGCCATCACCCGACGAATCCGAGCTACAGGACCGACGACCCGTCGCACGAAAGGTCCGAAACGTCGACGTCGACGAACGAAGGGGAGGCAGCAGCAGGGGTGCCAATGTCCCCTCCTGGAGTCCCGCCCTCCTGATGCGGGCTACGCCCCTCGGCGGGAGGATCCACGATCAGTTCGCCTCCAGCCCGAGAGCTGGTGAGGAACTGGCCGTGCCCACTCGCCCCCGAGGCTGCGGTCAAGCAGGTACTCCCAGCATGCGAGGGCTTCGAGTCCATGGGTTCGGACGACGCCCTGATGTACTGAGGCAAGAATTCTGCAATCCAAATAATTGCAGGCACACCGTGAGCCTGGCCGCTTGCCAAAACACTGCATGCCAGATGCAAGCCTCGTGCACATGAATTCCGCCAGGACTCTGATATGGCTCATAGGACCGATACGTATGGATCACGTCGCTCGCGGCGCTCATCTGGGAGGCCTCTAGCCTATTCGAAGATGCGCACCTTCAGCGCACGGCCTGCCTCAGAGTCCGACCGCGGAGGCGCCGCGGACGCGCCGCTGGCCCGCGGCCCCGCGGTGGCGGGGGGGCCGCCCGAGCCACTGGCCGCCCCATCGTGGGGGGCCGCCAGCAAGGGCAGCATGACGGCGTCCGTCACACCACAGAACGCGTCGAACGCGTGCTTGCGGGCTTTGCACGCCTCCTCGCCCTGCGACGCCCGGGACGATTCCATCGCCCAGGTCACTCCGCCAGCCCAGACCCCCTCGCGTGGTAGGTGGCGCGGGGCCTTGCAGCCACTGGCAGCCACACGAAAGGCAGCCCGTGCTCCTGGGGTAGGGCCGCCGCCGCCTCGGCAGCGAGTCGACCACGTCCGCGGCCCGCGCCTCCTCGGCCGCCGCGTCAGCCTCGGCAACTGCCTGCGGCACCGCCTCTGGCGCCTCTGGCGCCTCCCCCTGTCCCCCTTCATCCTCCACGAGGACCTCCCGAGGAGATGTCAGCAGCATGACGGTGTCCGTCACACCGCACCACGCGTCGAACGCTTGCTTGCGGGCCTTGCACGCCTTCTCGCTCTGCCCCGCCTGCGCGTTCGCCTCGCCCCACGTGTCCCTCCGCCACTGAAACTTCGCGTGGAAGTGATGCGGGGTCTTGCAGCCGCTGGGCAGCCACGCGAAACAGCCAGCGCTCCTCGGCCGAGCTGGGCCACAGGCGAGACTGGATGCGGTGCACATGCGCCCTGGGGCCGAAGCGGCCTGTGTCGCGTTCTCCTCCTGGGCCTGTCCTGGGAGCTCCGGCGGCGTGTCCTTGAGCTTCTCGACGACCGGTGTGTCGGTGGAGACGCCCGTCGCGGTGGAGGCCTCGTGGGGGGGCGCCAGTAAGGGCAGCATGACGGCGTCCGTCACACCACAGAACGCGTCGAACGCGTGCTTGCGGGCCTTGCACGCCTCCTCGCCCTGCGACGCCTTCGCGTTCGCCTCGCCCCACGCGTCCCTCCGCCAGTGAGACATCGCGTGGAGGTGGCGCGGGGCCTTGCAGCCACTGGGCAGCCACACGAAGCAGCCCGTGCTCCTGGGGAGGGCCGGCGCCGAGGAGATGTTAGCAGCATGACGGTGTCCGTCACACCGCACCACGCGTCGAACGCTTGCTTGCGGGCCTTGCACGCCTTCTCGCTCTGCCCCGCCTGCGCGTTCGCCTCGCCCCACGTGTCCCTCCGCCACTGAAACTTCGCGTGGAAGTGATGCGGGGTCTTGCAGCCGCTGGGCAGCCACACGAAACAGCCAGCGCTCCTCGGTCGAGCTGGGCCACAGGCGAGACTGGATGCGGTGCACATGCGCCCTGGGTCCGAGGCGGCCTGTGTCGCGTTCTCCTCCTTCGGGGATGGACAGACACCCCTTTAGTAAAACGTGGTTTAGTGAAAACAACCTGAGGCCCAAACCTGGCGGGCGCAAGCCTGGAAAATAACGGCCACGGCGCCCTCTCGAGAACCGAGAACGGACAATTCACTAATGACGTGTCACTGTTGGGGGTTCTGTCACCCCCGGCTCCTGCGCCTGTCCTTGGGGAGCTCCGGCGGCGTGTCCTCGAGCGTCTTGACGAACGGTGTGTCGGCTGGAGCCGCCCCTCGTCGCGGTGGAGGCCTCGGCTGCGGGCGGCGCTATGAGCTGGAGGCTTCCGGGGGCGCCCCTAGGAGCAGGGCGGCAAGGAAGCAGGCGCGTGCCCGCGGCATCGCGTGGCAAGGCGGTACAACAGAAGGTGCGGAAGTTAGACGGACAAAAGCCTTGAGCCAAAACGGCTACGGAGAGCAACCAGCAACAAGCCAAGAGGGCCCTAAGAAGGCCAAAGGGAGCCCCAAAAGGACTCCCCAGAGAGCCCATCAGGCATTATAACTGATTGCTCGTACTGTACCATTTGGTTGGGATTGTTCTTGTTGCGCGGCGCACCACAAATCTTAACACCAAGAGAGGGCTCCCAGAAGTGCCCCCCCAGAAGTGCCCCAAGTGGCCTCAAGTGGCTCCCGGAGGGACGGGGAGGCCCCAAGAGGCCCAAAAGAAGCCCCAAGACGGACAAAGCCCTCCAAGACGCCCCAAGACGCACTGGACAGAGGGCGAGCAGGAACCGGCGTCCTCGGCGGTGTCGGCTGAGCTCATCGGCTCCAGGCGATTTTCAGGCCCCGGGATGCGTGCCAGCAGCTGCGCCCCGCCAGGAGCGTTCCGAAGGGGCGCCCCGAGGAATGCCCCGAAAGCCTCCAGAGGACGGACGACAGAGAATGAGCAAGCCGCAACAACCAGCAGCACGAATGGTAAAGCTTCGGGCTGCGCGGAGACAGCCCCCCCAGGCAGTCCTGGCTGGCCTCAGCAGGCCCCCCGGCAGCCCCGGGCGGTCTCAGAGGGCCCCCCGAATAGTCTGGGGCAGTCTCAACACCCCAGCCCTGCCAGCCGGGACTTCTCGGGGGGGCTGTCTGCACACAGCCCGAAGCCGTGAGCAGGCGGCAACCATCGGCGGAGCGAACCAGCCCTGACTCTGGAACCGCCGTACTCTGGCTGGTCATCCAATGAAGAAATGCGTCGGAAATGTACCCCGTAGGATGCACAAACATAAGGCGGACATTTCCGCCTCGACAGAATAACTATGGCGGAATATTCCGCTTTGCGTGTATGTGTGAGACCATCTACGATGTCGTGAAACATTCCGCAACTTGGTGGCATGTTCCGCACAGCTGTCTACTAAGTAGCGCGGACATCCACTAGAAAGCGTGGTAGAAACAGCGACAGACAATCAGCGCGGACATCGGCATCGAAGGAGCTTGGAAGGTGGCGCGGAAATGTCCATCGCGCCTGCGAACGTTACCCCCAAGCATGGCGGGGGAACGCAAGGGGGGTCGGGCCTTCTGAGAAGTCTCAGGAGATCTCCGGCCTCCTGAAATAGAGGGCACCAAATCCACCCCCATGATTCGCCGGCCCAACGGGCCAGAGGCATGCTAAGATCTCCGGTAACAGGTTAACAGTATTTCTAGTTCGCGCGCGCGTGGCGGCCCCTGGGGACCCCTGGACGATAAGTACCCCAGCCGATGCCCAGCTGACTCCCCTAGGGCGCTCAAGGAGCGCGCCAAGAGGGCGCCGGGACGCCCGCTACACGGCCCAAGAGGCCCCAAGTCGCTGAAAGAACGCTCCAAGACTCCAAGACGCTCAAGATGGTCTCTAGATGGCCCCAGAAGCCGCGGAAAAGCCCGCCCGAGGCGGCCCAAGACAGCCCCTAAGAGGGGTGACCCGATATGAAACCTCAATGTTTCCGCCCCGAGGGTCGCCTCCGAGACCGCCAGCAAGTCCCGGAGAAGCCCCCAAGAGGCCCCAAGAGGCCCCCAAGAGAGCCAGAGAGATGCCCACCAGGTCGCACAGGCGGCCCCCAAAGAGGCATCAGAGGCTTCCAAACTGCCTCCATGACTTTGACATGGCGTTGCGACATTTGCCGAAGAATCTCCGCTCCTGGAAGAGTCCACAGTGACGCGACGCCGCATGAGCCACGAACGCGCAACGAAACGCAAGCGATGGCACAATACGGGCCAGCGGAATGAGCGCAGCGACTCAAAAATCACCCCGACACGCGAAGTAGTTTAGTAAACGCACCCACAGCAGGAATCGAACAGGACAGGTCTGTTTCATAAACGCCCAAGGCCGTTCAGTAAACGCCAGTGATCGGGTCCGGGTGCTTTTTCCTCCCTGCATGAAAAGGTTCTCGAAGCCGTCTCCGAGGCTTCCA